GTAGTTTTTTTGTATGAATTGTTGACACTATGTTTTAGGTATTTGTACATATGACATATTGACATTACCTACTGCTATACACTTTATATTAGTCTATATATAAAAGTGGGTAATTTACAATGGTTTGTTAATTTTTATTATAGCACAGTATTTTTTTCAGGTATTTATTATAATTTAAAATGTTTTATTGTAGTGCTAGCAGCCTGTTGTTTAGGGGATTTGCATTGGAGCAATTTTATATGCTAAAAAAATCTGAAGAATATATTTAAAAAAATATATTTCAAAAATATATATTTTAAAAATATATTCTTCAGATTCTTTTTAACATATAAAAAAGTAATTTTAACATACTGTATATTTGTGAATGCATTCCAAAAATGTAGATTTGTATTTTTAAAGACATACAGTATATTTGAAATGTATTCTTAAAGAATATTTTTCATATATTTTGTAACAAGAACGCATTTCAACATGCAGTATATATATATATATATATATATATATTATATATTTATTTAAATATATTGAATATGGCCACATATATGGCAATATATTTGTGAAGAATATTTTAAAAATATATTTCAAATATATTTTTCTTCCATATGGGAATGGCGTACATTTATACAAAATGTTGGTCATATGCAAAGATTTTTTTCAGCAGGAACGTGGGGGAGCGCAGTTCCCCCACCTCCAGCACTTAAAGTATGTTATTGCAAGGGTTGCTGGGTTGTGCTGGAAGGTCTATTGATGCTGGTTGCTGGGAAATCTATTGTCACTGGAGGGGATCTATGTTGGCATGGTGATCTATTGTTGCTGGGGACGTCTAATGTTGCTGGGGGGGTCTATTGTTGCTGGAATGGATCTACTGCTGAGGGAGGGGTCTATTGTTACTGGCTGCTAGAGAGTCTATTGATGCTGGCTGCTAGGGAATCTGTTGTTGCTGGTGGGGGTCTATTGTTGCTGGAGTGGTATTTTGTAGCCGGGGTCCATTGTTGCCAGAGCAATCTATTGTTGCTGGGGAGGGAGTCTATTGCTGCTGGTTGTGGTGGATCTATTTTACTGCTTTTCTTGTTATCATGAACAAATTCCATACAAATTACTTGGCACTACAAAATGATACTTTGGCGTGTATTCTCTATAAGGAACGGTACTGGGAGGCGGGAAGGAGTGTAGGGAGCAGAGACAAGAAGTGATTCAGAAGGGGGGAGTTCCTGCACCTATTATCTGAGTACTCACAGTACATGCATACAGTGTTAAATATGGCCCATTTGCAAGACTGGGGGCACAGGGGCACAGAGTTTGTTTGAGCAGCTGAACGCAGCTCCAGATTACAGAGCTATACTCAGCTATGTACATGGGACCATTGCATAACATACAGCTGCATTCAGATCTGTAAAAATGCATTATGAATTTAAACGCAGCATATTTTGAGCCTGCATGCATGACCCCCAAAACTGATCCAGCCATCACCAGAACAGATATTCCCTTAGGAAGACTTCCCCTTGATTCCTGTTCTGGAAACAACCCTTGGTTTTGGATGCACCTTCACTTTCATGTGACACTGGTCACCAGGACCAATAGAGAGAATACATGAAATAATCATAATGAAATGACAGCTGGGCTCAGGTATGAAAACTTTCTATCAGAAATTAACATTTTTTAAATTCTCTCATTTCAGTGTATAAAATAAAAAAAAAAAACGCCTCACATTTATTTACTGAAAGCCATTGTAAGTAGTACATGAGCTCCTGTTTCTGGCATCCTTTTGAAAATACTAAATGCCTGGATTGGTATGGCTGTAATCAGGGGTGGACTGACCATTTGGAAACTAGAGCACTGCCCGAGGGCTCAGGATCAGTAGGGGGCCCCATGAGATGGCCCTGGTACCTTTTTCATAGGCTTTTTTGAGTTTGGGCAAGGACACAGGGGCCCCATGATCCCCTATTGCCCGGGGGCCCCATGAATTGTCAGTCCGCCCCTGGCTGTAATAGTTCTGAGTAAAAGACTTGGAACAAGGGTGCTGGGAATTCATGTCAGGATTCTTTATCCCTATACTTGTCCTGGGTCAGTAACACAAAGCAAAGCAGTCAAGCCATCATTCTGACAGCCAGGGAACTAACATTCTCAAGGAGAGGTCAGCAATGGCAGCCTACATAATTCTTTCGTGACAGGTGTACTTTAGGGGCTCATACAGTCACACCAAAGGTACACACTGGGGTTGATTTACTAAGGGCCCTTTCACACGGGCGTTCCGTTTTCTTCATCAGTCCAGTCATGTTTTTTCCAAGAAAAAATAGATCAGTTCACATCAGTTTTTTTCATGTCAGTTTTTACGTCAGTTTTTCATCATCAGTTTTTATCAGTCAGATTTTCATCAGTTCACATCAGGTTTTCATCAGTTTTTCATCAGTTTACATCCGTTTTTAGTCTGGTTTTCTTCCGTTTTTCTTCTGTTTACATCCGTTTTAGTCCATTTACATCCATTTTTTGTCCGCTTTTGTTTGTTTACATCCGTTTTTTGTCCGATTACATCTATTTTCGTCCATTTACATCCACTTTTCATCCGTTCTGTTTTTTTTTTTTTTAACGGAACAAAAATAGAGTTTTCTTCCATTCATGTTAACGGATGAGATATTAACTGATGTAAACAGATGATCATCCATTTACATCCGCTAGTCTATAGAAATACATGAGTGTCCGTAAACGGACAGATGAAAAACGGACATACGGAACGCCAGTGTGAAAGGGACCTAAAACTGGAGAGTTCAAAATTTGTTGCAGCTCGGCAGAGAAACCAATCAGCTTCTAGTTTTTTTTTTTTCGTCAAAGCTTAATTGAACAAGATGAGGTTAGAAGCTGATTGGCTACCATGTACAGCTGGCACCACATTTTGCACTCTCTAGTTTTAGTAAATCAGACCCATAGTGTGTTGTGTTAGTGACTGTGTACTTTGTCACAAAAAAGGTTCATCTTTCTATATGTTCTGTTTTGCATGTGATGAACGATATATGGTAATTATGGGTGGTCAAGAAACAGCGTGTTTGAAAATATACTGTATAGCCTAGCACGTTGTATATTGTGGTTACTAAATCTTAAAATATTGCTGTTCACCAGAATACAAATATTGTAAAACAATCTGTCTTTTTTAGGCATATTAAGGGCCTATTTTACACTAAATCTAATGGCTGTTTTTCATTAGTAATTTATTGCCAACAGACATCTGTGCAGTTGCATACGCTCACTAAAATTATGTATAGGTCTTTCCTTCCCTGTGGGTTTTAAAACTAACAGGAAATATATCCAGCATCCAAAACATGAAAACAAGTTATGGGCCAGGGTGACATTCTGACATGTCTGGTATTTGCCATATGATTTGGGGTACATTAAAAGGATAAGTTCACCTTTGGGAACATGTTACATGTTCCACTCGTTCCCTCCCTCTGATAGATAATATGGGGATAAGTCTCCCCATACTATCTGTCAAAGTTGAAAACAGCGCGGCCATGTGGGGCTCCGCCAACATGGCTGCGTCACTCATTCAATGCTTTCTAGGCTCCTGTAGATAAAAATAATAAATGCATATTTTTTTACCTGCAAAAAAATGTGCATTTATTATTTTGTCTAAAAGATGAACGTATCCTTTAATATGTATTAGCTCAGTAGAGCTGTAATGAGCTGTTCTATAAAATCTTTAATCAAACTGTTAAGTAAATCAGGTATTTTGTTACAGCCAGAAACCAGAAGAATGCAGGCATGGTGCTTCCCAAACTCGGTCAGTGATGTACCATCATCACAATGCATGCAGAGCTGAAATGCCACCTGTTGTATGTTACCATGCATGACTCTCAGGTACGTATATACAATACTGCTTTAGCTTCAAAATGACACTACATAGCAGCCTTCACTATAATTTAAACTAAAAAATAAAACTGTGCCTAGTACTCCAAATAAAATATCACTATCAATTTTCACAGCTGTACTCAAAAACACATAACAAGTGCACAAAATGATGTCCTAATATTGTTGCGCTGTGTCTTTGAATAAATGAAAAGTGTTAAAGATAAATAAATATTATTATTATACAGTATTTATATAGCGCCAAAGGGTTTGCTCAGCATTGTACAATAGCAAGGGGGACAGAACATGAGACAAGACAGTAACAATACAATACACAAGGGGTTTCGAGGGCCCTGCTCTTTCGAGCTTACAATCTAGGAGGGGGGGAAGTGGTACAGGAGGAAATGGCTGTGGGGGATGGAGTGGTGGGAGAAGAGGAGGAGATCAGTTGTTAGGTGAGGGTGGGGTGGGGTGGGGTAGGCTTCCCTGAAGAGATGGGTTTTCAGGGTGCGTCTGAAGGTGAGGAGGGTAGGTGACAGTCTGATGGATTGGGGTAGGGAGTTCCAGAGGATGGGGGAAGTCCTGGAGAAGTCCTGCAATCGAGTGTGGGAGGAGGAGACCAGGGAGCTAGAGAGTAGGAGGTCCTGTGAGGAGCGAAGGGCACGGGTAGGGTGGTATTTGGGTATCAGGTCGGTTAGGTACCGTATTTTTCGCCGTATAAGACGCACTTTTTCTTCCCCAAAACTGGGGGGGATATGTCAGTGCGTCTTATGGGGCGAATATGGAGCGGCCGGTCCGGTATTTCCACCGCGGCTGTGTCAGAATACCGGGCCGGCCGCTCAGCTCTGCAGCGGGACCTTACCTGTTCCTCTATCCAGCGGCGTGCTGTCTTCCCGGCTTCTGTAGTGTGGGCACTGGGCATGACAGCCGGGTGCCAAGTGCGCATGCGCAAGAAGCGGTGCTTTTTGTGAATCGTAAGGCGGTACCTGGGACACATGACAGATCCCAGAAGCCGCCGGACCAATCACAAAGTGCAAGTGCTTCTCACTCATGAGCACTGGGCACCCGGCTGTCATGCCGAGCGCCATTACAGAAGCCGGGAAGACAGCGCGCGGCTGGATCGAGGAACAGGTAAGATCAAACAAAAACTCTGCGGAAGTAAGAGCGGGTACCTGTCAAATTCAGGTACCCGCTCCCCACCTCCCCAAAGGTCAGCAGTCATCTGTACTGTCCGCAGTCTCTGGTCATCCCTGTGCTGTCCGCAGTCTCTGGTCATCCCTGTGCTGTCCGCAGTCTCTGGTCATCCCTGTGCTGTCCGCAGTCTCTGGTCATCCCTGTGCTGTCCGCAGTCTCTGGTCATCCCTGTGCTGTCCGCAGTCTCTGGTCATCCCTGTGCTGTCCGCAGTCTCTGGTCATCTCCTGTACTGTCCGCAGTCTCTGGTCATCTCCTGTACTGTGTCTGCAGTCCATTAGTTCAGAATTTTTTTTTTCCTGTTTTCTGCCTCTAAAACCTAGGTGCATCTTATGGTCAGGTGCATCTTATACGGCAAAAAATACGGTAGTTTGAGGCGGCATTGTGAATGGCTTTGTAGGTCAGAGTTAGCAATTTGAATTTGATGCGCTGGGCAATCGGGAGAAAGTGAAGGGACCCCACAAAAGTAAAAAAAAATAAACCAAATGCCAAAACCTCAACTGACATATATACTCTGTATAATGTAATAAAATAAAAATCAATAACAAATTAAGAAAAAGTCCAGTTCTAATTCTCCAGGTGAGTTCCACCACCACTGCCACATACAGCCTCTTACTGATTACAAAGACCCCAAATTATAGGTGGTCTACTTGTACTGTGTATATAAGATCTGTCACCTCAAGAAGTCTCCTAAAGCTTGGGAACCACAAGGCACTTCAGCAAGGACCATAGCAGCAAGATATCTCTTAGGACATGGGAACCCTGTGTAATCACCTCTCCTGCACCACTCACATCGGTCCAGCAAGAGAAATAAACAGAATCCCATAGGGCAAACCTGATGACTTTAAGGAGTTTGTATACAGTGGAGCTGATTTACTAAACCTGGAGACTGCAAAATCTATGCGTGGTAGCCAATCAGCTTCTAACTTCAGCTTGTTCTAATATGCTTTGACAAAAAAAGAAAAACAAAGAAGCTGGTTTTTAAGCAGCGCTATACAAGATTTTGCACTCTCCAGTTTTAGTAAATCAACCTATGTCTTCTCACATTTAACAGCATGTTACAAGCATATCACAATCTTCACACTGCTGCTAACTCAGTTGGGCATAATGACGTCAGCACATGCCCCACCCTATGGTATGCTGTTTATTTCTCTTGCTGGACTGATGTGAGTGGCGTGGGAGAGGTGTGTCCCACCCTGTTGGTGTATCCCGTGGTTCCCATGTCCTCAGAGACTCCTTGCTGTTACGGTCCTTGCTGGTGTGCCCTGCAGTTTCCCAAGCTTTAGAAGACATCTTGAATAAACAGATCTTATATACACAACAAAATCAGACCAATTATAATTTGGTGTCTTTGTAAGAGACTGTATGTGGCAATGGTGGTGGAACTCACCGGGAGAATTTAAACTTCACTTGTAAGGACTTTTTTAAATTATTTTTTATTTTTATTTTATTATATTACACAGTGAATAAAGTCACGACCAAAAAATATTGGCATCCCTGCATTTCTATCAGATAATGCACCACTTCTTCCAGAAAGTTGTTGCAATTACAAATGTTTAGGCATTCTCATGTTTATTTCTTTTGATTTTATTGGCATGACACAAAAAAGCAGAGAAACAAAAAGCCAAATCTGACCCATTCCACGCAAAACCCCAAAAATGGACTGGACAAAGCTATCGGCACCTTCCAAAAATTGTAAGAAACACAGAAATTGCATTCCAAGTTTGTGATGCTCCTGTAATTTGTAATTAAACTAGCCTGTATCAATTAACAGATCTTAAAGCGGAGCTCCACTCAAAAGGGGAAGTTCCGCTTTAAAGACTGGTCCCCCGCTCCCCATTAAGGATTGGCACCTTTGGGGGGCGGGGGGGGGGAGCGGATACCCGAATTTGACAGGTACCCACTCCCACTTCCACTCCAATCGCCTAGGCGATCGGAAGTGGAAGGTGTCCTCCCTTCCTCCCTCCCCGTAGTCTTTTGAGACACATGATAGGTCCCAGAAGACTACAGGACCATTCAGGAACTGCAATGCTACTCTCGCATGCGCAGTGGGTACCCGGCAGTGAAGCCGCAAGCTGTCACAGCCGGGTGCCCACACTGAAGATGCCGGCTCCCAGGGAGAGAAGACAGCCGGTAAAACGGGCTGCATGGGACACACCATGGGACCGAGGAACAGGTGAGTGGGTGTTTTTTTAAAAGTCGGCAGCTACAGTTTTTGTAGCTGCTGACTTTTATTTTTTGACAGCGTGAGTGGAACTCTTCTTTAAAGGGATTCTAAAGGCTTATTTATTTAAATAACAAACCTGCCTATACTTACCTGCTGTGTGCAGTGGTTTTGCACAGAGCAGCCCGGATTCTCCTCTTCTCAGGTCTCCTGCCGATGCTCCTGGCCCTCCCTCCTGTTGGGTTCCCCCAAAGCAAGTAGCTTGAATGGACACACGGAGCGGCAGCTCGGCCCCGTCCGCTCTCTTTTCTCATTGGCTCACTTGCTGTAATTGACAGCAGTGAGAGCCAATGGCTCCCGATTCTGTGTCAACCAATGATAAGTGAGAGTCCTGGGATAGCCAAGACTCCAGTGCACATCACTGAGAGGGGGCTTAGGTGAGTATTAGGGGGGGCTGGGGGGATGGTGCACAGAGAAGGTTTTTTACATTCTTGTATAAAATGCATTAAGGTAAAAAACCGTGAGCCTTTAGAACCACTTTAATGTTCCTGTATCCACTGTGCACAACATTGTCAAGAAGGTTAGTTGTCAAGAAGAACCTAAGAGACAAACATAATCAAAGCTTGCAATGAAAGATTGTTTGAATGGTGGATAAAAACCTTGAACAATTTCCAGACAAATTTAGGCTGACCTTCAGGCATAGGGTACAACTGTGTCAGCTTGCACTATATGTCGCAATCTGAATGAAAAGGGACGCTATGGTAGGAGACCCAGGAGGACCCAACTGCTGACACAGAAACAAAAAATAATAAAAAAGCCAGATTGCAGTTTGCCAAAACTAACCTGTGTTAATTTAACTGTGAATGGCAGTTTAGGGTGTTCTGGTAGATCCTGAATGCAATCATTGCCATCATAAATACTGGCAAGCTAAAGCCAACATCAAGGAATGGTTAACCTGACCTTTTGTACAAACTAAGTATGTGCAGAAATGACAAAAACAATCCATCCTTAAAATTCATTTTGAAGAGATAACGCTTTCATATTCAGTGTTAACACTGGTTTACTTAGTTACTTAGCGGATGAGGAACTGTAGACTGGATAAAGAAAAAAAATATGTAATTAGAAAAACCACAAAGAGAATTTGAAGCAACTTTTGGACACTGCCATCCCTGACCTGACCAGACATGGTCCTCAGTGCTTTCTTAGCCACTGACTTGGTCCTCAGTGCTTTCTTAGCCACTGACTTGGTCCTCAGTCCTTTCTTAGCCACTGACTTGGTCTTCATTCCTTTCTTAGCCACTGATTTGGTCTTCAGTCCTTTCTTAGCCACTGACTCGGTCCTCAGTGCTTTATTAGCCACTAACGTGGTCCTCAGTGCTTTATTAGCCACTGATTTGTTCCTCAATCCTTTCTTAGCCACTGACTTGGTCCTCAGTCCTGTCTTAGCCACTGACTTGGTTTTCATTCCTTTCTTAGCCACTGATTTGGTCTTCAGTCCTTTCTTAGCCACTGACTCGGTCCTCAGTGCTTTATTAGCCACTAACGTGGTCCTCAGTGCTTTATTAGCCACTGATTTGTTCCTCAATCCTTTCTTAGCCACTGACTTGGTCCTCAGTCCTGTCTTAGCCACTGACTTGGTTTTCATTCCTTTCTTAGCCACTGATTTGGTCTTCAGTCCTTTCTTAGCCACTGACTTGGTCCTCAGTGCTTTATTAGCCACTGATTTGGTCCTCAGTGCTTTCTTAGTCACTGATCCAGAACAAACATGTGGCTAACAAAGTCAAAGGAAGTCACAACCCATAAATTCAGATAAGAAGCCTTGGCGTTATCATAATAGCAAAGAAACTAGCATTTTCAAAATCGAAGATCAGCCATGGCCGTCCTAACTATCTGTCAGTACAGGTTCCTTTTGCACTGCACCTAAAGCCATTTTTTTTAAAATAAAAGTGATAAGGAAATAGAACACTCATTATGTTTGTACTGCAGTCTGTGACTCTGCTAAGGCATTAACTCTCTATTAGTCCTAGTGACTACTGTCTTCATGACTGAACGAGATGGAAAACTGTCACCAGAACAGAAATTGAGGGGAACTCTCCCAATAAGGACTTGTATTAAGGTGACAACTGTATAAAAAAGGACATCCCCTCATTTTAGAGAGATTTCTTATTTCCTGATGTTTTTATTGAGATAGGAAGCAAAAAGGGATCTCCCAAATGGGACACTGGTGGTGACGGGGTTTTTTTTTTATTACCTTTTCCTAATCTCACAGAAAAAAAGGCTTTAGACATACTCCAAGTATTGTCAAGTTAGGGAAATGAATCGCTTTACAGAGGATGAGGTAAATTACTGTTCCTTTACCCAACTCGAAGCCATCATTAAGCAAACACTATCCATGACACTGAGCATTTCCTGGGTTCCATCAATACTGTCTGACAGTGTGATTTTTGCATATAAATGAGCAGGTATTAAGGGCAGTATGAGGATTATCCTTCAGTTGACGTTTGTGTAGTATACTGTAAATGGTTGCAGGTGAAAACAACTAAGGAGATACTGAACTAGAATCTGTATATTACAGCCAACAGAAGTGAAAGCAGGAATCTTTAGTACTGTATTCAAATCCCTTAGCCCCTAATCATAAATTGAAAGAATCCCTAAAACTCCAGAGCCACCTAATTCTATGATAAAGGCCAATAACATTCAAGAAGATGTTGTACAGTTTGCATTGCTGATTTCAGTGAGAATTGGGTGATGATTAGTAAATTCAGATCTGAAGTGATCATTATATTCAACCCTGTCATCACCTTTCCCTACACTCATCCATGCTCTAAAATGCTAAAAACCAAGCAACCTTCATAAAGTTCCAGTAATCTCATGTACTGTACTGTGTATCCCAATCTATGGGATTGTCATGAGATAACGTAATGAGGGATGGTAATGAATGCCAAGTAAAGCTCTACAAATATGACATTGTGACAGCTGTCAGTTACAAGTGTCTTTTAATGATTTCAGTTTGATCTGTGATGATAATGTTCCTGCTCAGACAGTATAGTGTCTAATCAAAAACAGTAATGCTGTTACCAGCACAGGAACATGCAGTAGAATTTTGACGCTAATTAGAAATAGTATGACTTTTATTATTGTTCCTTTAACCATTATATAGACAAAAGTACATGTATTAAAATTATGCAATGCTTACATCAAAATGGGCATATATCTGTCATTAGGAATAATAAAGGACTATAAATAATTCAATTTACTGACGTACAGCGTTACTCTGTGCAATGAAAAGGTTTTATAAGGCATATACAGATTAAAAGTGCCAGGATAGATTTACTTCCATATATAATGAGAGAGACTAACTCCACAAATGCAGTCCTTATTGATGAGCATGCACCAATAACTAAATCCGATCATATTATGGCATATCACCAGTAATCCATGGTATAATATACCAATAATCCACTTAGTGCCAGGATACAACTATAGCTAAAATTCATGAAATCTGGCACGGTAAGCCGTTCATTCCCAGAGGAGCCACCCAGGGAACCAGTTAACTCTTGCAGGCGTGCTGTGGTTTACTGTAGAGACAGTGATGCCCTATTTGACCGATTAGTAAGTCTGCAGAGAAGTTTGGCTACACAGCAGAGGCTGTCACAATGCCTGCTTTTCACATTTCATTAGGAATAGCATGAGACACACAAAATCCTAGTACAGATTTCTTGTTTGAATAAGCTCCCAGTCTTCAGTATAAAATTGCCTTTACCTAAGCTAAGGTGAAACAAGCACTCAAAAACTCCATCTTAATATTGTATCATGGCAGATGCCACCACAGTCCTTCCTAGCAGATAATCCTTAGGAATAGTACTTTGTGCTAAATAATGAATTGTGTTACAAACAAACTGGTATTTGTATTTTATTACTGTGAATAGAAATCAAAGCAGGAAATGCCATGTTGATTAAAAATACTAGAAGCCAGTATATGGATAGGGCATATAACATTGACAGGGCATGCATATGAGTTCAGTTCAATATGCACAACTGCTGAAATGACTAAAACGAAGAAAAAACAGAGAAAAAAAATGTCAGTGAGAATGAAATGTTCAGCATGCAGGAATACATAAAACTGTTCTTGCTCAAAGAACAGTTTCTAGCAAAGATCAGCTAGAATCTGGAAGCACAGATTTATGGAAAGCATTGGTGCATTAGGCAGCAATCTGCACATTGATGTGTGCTGGAGTGTACAAGACAAACTTGCTTGTAAGGATTTAACTGGTCTCACTGGCTGCCCTGCTCACCTGTCGTCCAGACATCTGCCTCTCTCTGTGACACTGCATCACTTGCCATGGAGCTAACTAGCCTGAAACTTGCCACTCCAAACCCCTTCCACTCATCCTACAAACAGCACAACACCTCCTATTGCAGAATGGCCAAGGATCTCCTGTTCTCAGGGAATGACCCCCCTCCCTTGCATTTGCTTTCATAGAGACCAGTTGTAATCCACTGGCTGCTATTTCTAGATTGCCTTGAAGTTGTAAAGAGGCTTTCACAGCACAGCATCCTTTGACAGGTACATTGTCATTCTGTAGATTCACTAGATATTAATATAGCACAGCCTTATGGGCTATGAATGGAAACCACACATCATCCTTCACCCCCCCCCCCCCCATATTAATCAATAAAAGCTTCAACACTGGCATCCAGCTTTACCTTTCATCATCAGGGTGATAAAGTTATTATATCCAGCAAGCCTAACTAGTAAAGTTACTGGTCCTGTAATGTGCGGTTCGGGCTTTAGCTGTTAGCACTGGCAGGTAACATCCCTGATTGGCTGCAATATGTTGATAAATCATTAACAGCTTTAATTAGCAAGGCTTGAAAAGTAATATTATCTGTGCCCTTACCTGTCTGCTGATTGATGCCCAACTTCCAGGTTGTCAGCTGCCCAGCTAGCGGTTGGCAGCCTCCAGAGGCATCTTGCGACCTTTAGCCCGGCTATTGC